TGATGATGGTGATGATAATTATGATGATGACTGATAATAATTCAACATGCCTACGATCTAACATTCTTAAACCCTTCAACCCTACTATTAATTTTCCAGACTAGCCTTAGAAACCAATTTAAAAATCGAACGAGAATGGCGAATGAACCTACAAGAAGAATTACACAAGGAAAAAGAGAAAGTCGGTGCCATGCAACAGACGTTAAACCAGTACGAAAACCTAAAAAAGGTGGAAATAAAAACTTCTTAATTTGTCCACAAAATTTTATTGAGGTGACAAAGTCAAAACAAAGGTCCAAAATAGGGACCTGATTTAAGTGGGTACCCCACCCCCCCAACCACTCTCATCATGAGACTTTCTATCCACAAATACGTTGTTTAGCATACATGCAAACATACAGTACATTCATTTTTGAGATTTGCCTTCTATTTTTGGAAAAACAAGAAAACAAAATATTGTCTTGCAAAATTCAGGATTCACACTTACAGAGCGTGTAGGTACTGGATAGCCCCACCCAACCCCCTTTAGTTAGGTACCAGGTAGCCCTACCTCTCCCCTGTTAGGTACCAGGTAGCCCCACCCCACCCCCTTAAGTCAGGTCCTGTTAGATCGCAATGCTTTTGATTTCGTTGATCGCTAATGTATCGTGTCTGTTGTCAGGAATATCAAGCTCTCATAGAGAGGCATGCTGCTTTGAAGAAGATCCATTGTGAACAAGAGACGGTTAGTATGCTTTATTGTACACTACTGGGGGGTGGGGTGGGGGTACAATACGTTGTCAGTACCATGCCTTCTTCTGATGTGAGCAAAGTTCTAGAAATGGGGGTTCAATGTATTGACCCCCGGAAACTTAGGTTCGTGTCAAACGTCGAACTTCACATGAGCCGAACCTAATAACATCAAAGAAGACCGCCTTGTTATCCATTGTTTCAATTAGGTTCGACTCATGTGAAGTTCGACATTTAACTTCAGCTTTAGATCTAGATTAATTTCGGTAACAATAATTGATATTTTTCTACACCGTCAAATAATATTAGTAATACTAATTTATTATATATTTTTTTCTTTTCTAGGCTCTAGTAGAAATGGGGTCTCATCTCAGCAAGTATGAAATCAGAACTTTATCAAATTTTAGAATTTATTGATTTTATAAAAAAGATTCTTTGAGGTTAAGGGCCACATTGCATTTCGTGTTTGTGCAACTATTGGAACCCCAATACGTCTGAGATTGATTGGCTTCCATCAATCAAAAGCGTTCTTACTCAAACCATTACTCGTAACTTTAATGAACGCAGCCAAAACACGAAAAAATGTGCGGCTGGAGTTGCCGGGCCACACAAATAGTAAAAGCGCGAATTAAGTTGAGTTATTTATTCCGTTTTTTGATGTTTTAATTTTTTTTAGTTCTCAGTTGAAGGTCGAAGAAATGAAAGAGGTAACGAAGACAATCAAGGTAAAAAGAGCGCCAAAARTTACACTGATGACGTAATGATTGGTGCGTGATTGACACGTGATTATCTTGTGATTCATAGGACATGAAGTGGACGGATGACAAAGAGGCTCTAATCTGTCAGTTATGTGAACAACCTTTCTCGCTATCAAGACGCAAGGTAGGATGGAGGATTGAATGTTTAAGTTTCGTCTTTTGATAATCAGCAAAAATAACCAACATACTCATCTAACCGCACGAGCAAAGACAGTTGCTGCTGATAATAAGCCATTTTGTTTGTTTTGATGCTGATGTTGTACGAGAAAAACCTCACTAGAACTTGCTTGAGGTAAAACAGGCGATTCTTTCCTGTGCTTCGAGGCTTTTTCTCCGGGTTCTCCAGTTTTCCATCCTCCGCAAGAATCAACTTCTAAATTCCAATTGGAATCCAGTGGAAGAAGAACCACTCTGTGGAATCCACTTTTAAATCCCATTATTTATTTACTATTAATTACTTAATAAAGCTATGCTTTGGGTACGTGTGACGTCATAGCCGCCATTTTAGATCACTTAGGCGAACGAATTTGCTTGTGATTTACACGTCTTTTATTCTCATGTGACAAAATGCACGTCATGTTTTTTCGTACATTTTTGTACCGTCCTACCCCTCCCTGACATTTTTATTTTATATTTTGTCAACAGCATCACTGTCGTAACTGCGGAGGCATATACTGTAATACTTGCTCTAATAATACTATGCCGTTACCTTCCTCTGCTAAACCAGTCCGTGTGTGTGACACTTGTCACGATACTCTACTGAAGAGATATCAAAGATGATATCTACACCATATTTTTACAGTACTTCTCAGTAGAGCAGTTTTCGTATGACTGCGAAAAGTTCATTGCCGTAAGCGTGCCGTGACCGTGATAATTTCTGGAATTCTAATTGGCTGATTTTTTTTCTCACGCAATGTTATTGGTCTGGCGTAAGCCTTGCCGTGTCACGACCGTGTTTATGCCGTGAGCTTTTCACAGTCATACGATAACTGCTCTAGCGCGAAATCCCCGATACGACGATGTTGGCTTTGGTGAACGTCGATCAAGGCCCTTGAATAATGTCTATCCCGACATTGTCATGGCAACACTTTGATTGACGTCCACCAAAACCCTATTTTATACGATCCCACGCGTGTGTTTGAGAAGTATTGTGATATTGCTTATCCGCACGTCACTCAAAATGTTTTACTAATTCTTACAAAATGCTACTTAAAAATATAAAAAATACACTTGTGCCGCTCCCATCAAACTTATTCAACCAATTCAAAGCGTAGAGTAGTCTAAATAGAAAAAGTTTCAAGGGGTAGTAGATGGAAAATATTTGCCAGAAATAGTTATATGGGAGATAAAAAATAATCGGGTTGGTTACAAATCGGTGCTATTCTTTATAATGCTGTCTAAGGTTTTCAAATTTTCAAGATATTATTAATGATTATTAGACATCATTATTTACTATCGATCCATGCACCTATGCAAAACTGCATTCTTGATTATTAGACATTATTAATAATTATTTACTGACGATCCATACACCTATACCAACCAGCATTCTTTAATTTAGCTTATAAGTAAAGTAAATTTAAAAAAATAATATTTCTAAAGCACATTCTTTAAAAGCATGTGTGTGTTTTTGTTGCGCTTATGTCAGTCCACTATGAATACTCTTAATACTGTTTACGAAATTTCTTTTTTAATATCATACGATTATATGGATATATAAAAAGGTGATCAACTGCGCATACTCTAGTGTGATTTTAAAACGAGTCTAAGCCATAGCCTGGGAATTCTGTTGATACCCAAGCTATGCCTTTACTTAACTGTTACCAGTTCTCATGCTTGCTAGCTGAAAACATCTCTCTTATAAATTATTTTAAAAAATTGGTTCTTAAAAGTAGTTACTAAAAAGTGTTTTTGCGCATGTGTCGTTTATGTACAAGTGCACTATCGTCCCAACACGCCTACGATCATTTTGGTCTCAAGAAAAAGGATTGCAATGGCCTTGTAAGCCCTTGTTGCTTGGCGAGACCTAAACGACCGCAKGTTAGAGGACGGATGACTTGCTCCTTGATCGGCATATCAGGCCTGCAAACGAAGGCGCGCGCAAGATCAAAATTTACTCCCGCAGTCGTATTAAGGCCGTGTCATTGCTAAATCTGTCTTATGACCACATCTCTATTGTGTCCTTGATTCAACACGGGTAACCTACCCTTGGTGCTGAGTCACTGTCTTTTTGCGTACGATTATAATAATATTTAGCATCGTGCATTAAATTATGATTTTTTATACTTTCTTTACTCCTTAGAGGTCAGTCCATTCCTTATAGCCGCATGGTTAAAACTGTAGTTACACAGCTCACCCTTGCTTGTATCATTTACCATTACTAGCTGTTCTTTGCTTTTCAGACCTGTCTTGTTATCATGCTCTTTATTGGGACCATATGGATCTAAGTCTTGAGTATATGGCTATTATTCTTGCCTTTGTTTACCATCAGTTACTCTCGTTCAACATCACCTGCCATCGTTTACCATCACTTGCTATCGTTCACGGTCTTTTGCAATAATCTTTTTTTATGGCCTAAAACCTCCAATTATTTCTTCAAGGCGTTATTACCAAGAGTCGTCCATAACTTAGGTCCGTTTCCATAGAAATATCAGTGCCAAACAAAGGTAACTTAGCAACGAACTACCAATCAGAGAAGACCCTGTAAATATAAAAATAGTTTACCCTAAAATCAAGTACATATGCAAGTTTGAAAGCAAGCTATTTATTGCAACGTTTGATTGTGATATATTTATCCTAACTCCCATACATTATCTTATAAATCATGCACCGGAACTAGGACATCACTGAAAGACCTGGACGTCATTGATGTATATATCATGACATACCTTTACTTGCTTTCCATTTGGCTTTGAACCCTTTGGATGTGATAAAGTCATCAGACCTGAAGCGTATTTGCATCGTTCGTCCCTTGCTTTTGAGGTGGATCTTTGATGCGGCTATTTTACCGCAGTAACGACCTGTTGGTTGAGATGAAAGACTCGTTAACAATGTACAAGAAGTCGAATGAGGTTACTACACTAGGTATATCAGCGTCTTGCATTCATCATGCATTATCATCACCATTATCTATAACATAAGTTACAGCAATTTTCACATGACTCAGTGTTGGGTAAGCGTGCCGTGCCGTGACGGTGATGTCTTCTAGAATTTGATTCGCTGTTCGTTTTTTTCCCTCGGGCAATGTGATTGATCTAGCAGTGCCGTGACCTTGGTGTTTCGGGTATTTGATTGGATAGTTACTAAATTCTCACGCAACGTTATTGGTCTGGCGTATGCCTTGCCATGTCACGACCGCGTTCGTGCGGTGAGTTTTTCACAGTCATACGAAAACTGCTCAATATACCAGTATGTTGTTACCTATGAGCGATGTAGCATCATAGTCATTCCAAACATCAACGAAGTCACTTTTGCACTCATTAGCCTCCAAGTCAAATTCCGTGAACCATAAGTCTACCACGTGACCAGAGGATACAGTAATGGTCCAAATACTGTCTGCTTTGTTGGGATACTTGGTGGGGTAACCAGGGGACTGGAACTCACCAGAATCTGACGTGTAAACCTCACTCACGTCTTACGAAATAAAGATAAAATTATTAGCGTTGATTAATTTATAATAATAATAATAATTAATTAATATATTTATTAAATGTGGTGATCATAGAACATTTTAGTTAACAATAATAAGAAAGGTTTTTTGCGCTCTGTTCAGAAATAAAGCAGCACGCAGGAAGTGACGTCGTTGGCGGCGCTAACATGGATGGCGTCAGCAACTATGCTTTGTTCATTGATATAACACAGTTCTCGACCAATCACAGAGCGCGCGTACTATCTAAGCTATGAAATAAAAGGTAATGAATAGAACATAGTGAAAAATCCGAGGAAGTATGTTTACTAGATGCCCTCGAATGTGACCTGCAGAAAAACATCTAAAAATCTTAATTTAACATTAATTAATATCCTTGATATTTACCCCAGCTATAGGTCATGACATGGCTTATATACTTACTTCCAAAAGTTCGAGGGATACATTCAACCAATCCAGTGTCTTCAAGCGCCGTCATTGCTACTGCGTCAGCGGTGTTCGTTAGAAAGTGTAGCCTGTCTGATGTGGCATGGGAGAGGTTGTCACATTCATTATGGTAACAGTACTTCATATAACCCCTGAAGTCCAAAGTATCTGTCAGATACAAAGCCTTTATAGGAGGATCGTTATTCCAGAAGCTGTAGTGATCACTATCGAAAAAATATCTGTAGTTGTCCCGCGCGACGGAATTGAGCGTAGAAGGACGTTGCTGGAAAGCTAACTTGAAATTTCGAAGTTTAAATTCACCTGAAAAGAAAAGAACGGATTTTACTTTTAAGTATTCATCTTAAGTGGAAGCTAGTCGCGCTGTAAGTCAGTAGCGTGTTTCCCACTCATACGATAACCATTTTTAATCCCCAGTCATGCAAAAACCGTTCTAGCACGCTCACGCTAGAGAATTGACAATATTTTTGCAACCAATCACTGCGCGCGCGGTTCACCGCTTATCACGGTCACGGTACGGCATGCTAACGCATGTCATCAAGCATACCGTGCCGTATCGTGACTTGACGTCACGAAATCTATTTCAACACTCACCTCTATGATACTGACTCTCCCTGAAGTATTTTGTGATATTGTCAAACAAATAATCTTCTTTGACTGTTCGTCCGACGGCCAACAGAAAATCTCCTCTATTGTTATTCCTTTGAATCTCGCTTACAGTACTTCTAACCGAATCATCAACATGGTTTTCAAGCTCCGTGAAATTCTGGGAGTCGTACGATGAATCAAAGTTCATAATACCGTCCAAAATCACCGCCCCTTCGATTTTCCCTTTCTCGTTACTAACTCCGAGGTATCCGGTCAGGTCCTTGATGAATGTCGCGCTGCCATAGCTACAAATGCACTGGAATCGATCTTCATTGTTACAGGATTGGCATTCTTTCTGGTCAAATGCTACCAATATTAATGTGTAGTTTCTTTGACAATCTTGATCTACAAGAAAAAAATACATGATGGGATCCCTTTGTATCAAAACCACAGGTAGTCCAATTTGTAGAAATCAAAAATTGCTAAAACCGTCGCTTAAACCTAAATTCGTTAAAGTACTTAAGATTTAGTTTCCTCGATTTAGTTAACTCGTAGATACAAAAAAATCTAATGCGTTACAAATGCTAGCTTGTAAATGATTCCATAAGTTAGTTGATACTGGGCCACCTGTGTGGCAATGATGCATGATGAGAAATTTGTATAAAGTTTGTAAAAAATTTTTTTTAAATTTCTTATGCTTCAATGATGCGCTAGAAAATTCATTCCACAGCACTATTTCTCCCATCTTTTATAAAAAGAAGACATGAAAATGACTTGTAAGTTTACCTGGATCATTAAATTGTCGAGCTACTTGAAGCAAAGCTGCCAAGCCTGACCCATTGTCATCAACCCCAGGGGAGTCCTGGTAAGTATCATAATGTGCACCCACAATAAATATACGGTCTTCTGCAGTGTTTACAAAGCTACCATCAATACGTCCAATGACATTATAAGAATCCTAAGAAAATGAGATGAAATAATTTGAATCACAAAAACATGTCATAGAAGTAATAAGCCCAGTAGAGAACCAACAAACAACTCTACTCGCATATGACACCCAGTCTGGGAATCAAACCCAGGCCATCTTGGTGAGAGGCAAGTGTTACCAACCACCAACCGCTCTCCCACTATAATGTTTCTCATGGTTACAGACAAATAAAGAAGAATCCAACTGTCACAGATTTCTGATTGACGAATAGTCAATAATTAATAGTCAGAGCTGATTTGAGTCTACAACATCACCAGTTGTGTTCCTTGATTACAGACATCCACACAGGGTTAGCCTTATTTTAATGTCAAAATATTCACAAATACCAACAGAAATGTAAAAAAAAAAAAAAACATCCCATGACCCTTAATTCGCTTGAATACATGAATATTCCACAATGAGGCTAACTTGAGCAATAGAGAAATCAGAACTGGACTATTAACTGCTAAATGGACACCGATTTAATGTGAAAACCCCGTAATTAAGCTTTATAGCTCCGCCTGTACCATCCTTTTCCTAGCTTCCAGAGTACTTATTGGTACAAACTTACCTGTCCAACAGGTACAGCTTGAAAGCTTGTCTTAAAACCTTGCTCCTTGAGCTTCTCTTGAATGAGAGTACGGACCTTGGTCTTGTTGGCTGGAAGGTAAGTACTTCGACTTGATTCAAAATGTTCTAAAAAGTACTTGATAGATTCCTTTTTGTTTAAAGCTAAAACATTTTGAAAACCTAAAAAAAACAGCAACAACTTTTAAATACAAATATATCATAACTAATTATTAGGGTGCCCTAGAGATGATGATAATGAAGATGATCAACAGGCAAAATAGTTTTAGGGATTAGTAATAACATGAGCTTGACATGATGATAATTGTACTGCTAAAAAATATACAGAAAATACATTTGTTATTTGTTATAACATGATGTCATCAGAAGTGAGGTAGTGATGCGTAGAATGTGTGATAATAATACCTAAATACTAACTTACGAGTGAAGTTATGAAAGCAAAACTGATATGAATATAATTATACAGCCTTAATATTCATGTATTACTGCCACTTCCGATAATGATGTTATTGTTATTGAATACGTAACAACTGTGTCATACTTTGGCAATGACATCATGCTCAATATTCCGGTATGAACATTTCGTTATTTTGCAAGCTAGTATACTGTGTGTATTAAGAATATAGAAACGGGACTTTCTAAAGTATTATCGTAAATCAAAGACCTAAAATATGAATAAAGTATGTAAGACATGCAATAACACTGTACTTCCTTAGATATAGGATAGACTTTGTCGTAAAAGTTGGTATTCCTCGCGACGTAATTAGATACAGTGCTCTTTTTTATTGTCCAGAAAAGTCGTCCTAAAATGTTTTCTTCCTTTGAGTCATGTAATAAGTAATGAATGTCGCTTCAAGCACAACCTTTGTAAATATATCCATCATAGCTTTATGTTAAGGATTAATTCACTTTAGCTAATAATCATATCTACAGTAATTTTTTTTAAATTCTAAAGTAAAAACTCAGGCCAATATCAGTGTTATGATTATCTTATGGTGCCACAGTCTAAGGTTGAGAAAATAATACGATATAGTTTAGAGTTGTTTATGTTTGAAGTCAGCATCATTCGGTACTGAATATGTAAATGAATTGAGAACAAGATGTTTGACACTTCAATGGATTCCCAACGAAATCAAAGACATTCATAATCGACCAAACCTCTTCAAACTTACATGACATACGAAAAATACTTCTAAAACCTACCTGAGAGAAGAATTAAAACGATCGGGAGCAAGGACATAAAGAATAGACGAAAATTTCGACGAAGCTGTCGAACACACATCGAGTGAAATTAATCTTTCCTACTTGACGACCAAATACCTGAAAAAAATTAATGCTAGCTTGTTTTTTAGAGTTCTTGCATCGCCAGTAGAACTGAAGACGATAATATTATTGTTTTTTAGTGGTTATTAATTTCGAGGCGGGAAACAATGGACGCGGTATTTGAGCAAAACGGTTTGACTTCGAAGCACACGTAACGCAAGGGTGAAAGACACAGGGATCCCAACTAATGGTTACAAACATGTCACGCTTTGCTGATTCCCCTTTGTTTTCTAGTATCAAATATTTGCTATTTATCATCCATCGTGTCACGTATCTAAATAGTACCCATTCTTCACTTAAAATAAAAAAATTATAACGCTTCTAAATAGTAGACAACGTTTCGTTAGTCAGGGGCGTACGGTAGTGGGGCCTCGTGACAACAAAGTGGCGGATTTTCAATTTTTGATTGAAAAATAAGAAATGGATTGGATGAACGTATAGGAATAAGAATGTACCTAAAATGGATTGGATGAACGTATCGTACCATTTTTTTGAAATAATTGATCAGAAACGATCCCCCCAGAAGGCTGGAACAGAACTTTTKCTCTTTACTGGATTAGTAATGATAAAAAGGTAAATTATACACCGTGAAAAGATTTAAAAACTTACTGACGTTTCGGACGCTAGTCCTTCGTCGGAGTAAAAGACGAACTATTACGAACTAAAGAGGTTTATTTGATGGACCAAGAGGCACTCTGTCACACAAGGGAAAATTGATATCTTTCACAGTTTCTAGCATGAAGCTCACAACAAAAAAAACTTTCAAATACAAGAACACTTTTTATTAAGCTTATCTTTAAACAAAATCACCGTTCCTCGTTTTAGTAGTGGCAGTTTAATTGGCAGCTTATGACGTCGTTCTATATATGATTTTTTCTTCTATGCTAAAATCCTTGAGGGTCAGCAGTAGCAAATGTTGCATTAGTTTTACTTTTAAGGCGAAAAGTAGCTTTAAACCATCACGTGATGGCAGCCATGACAGGAGGCACAACAATAGAATCTTTTCCCCCTGGGAAACTGAATTATTTCACGTGTAAATCAGATTATATCAGATTCACTTGTCCTGCCTCCTGTCATGGCTGCCACCACGTGATTGTGCAAAGCCTCTATAACAAAAATAGTGTTAGCTGTTTGGCAAGACATTATGCAGGAATCGGTTGGTTCAATTAGCAAGGCAGTCAGTATATATGTCTCAGATGAGGACATGGATCAACACGGCAAGTAATGCAGACAAACACAGGACACCTGAAACGATATACAGGAACACCGATAAGTAACCTTATTCGCCTTTCAGAGGTTGAGGACAAAACCTGGTCCTACTTGCGCGCCACGCCCCCACCCACATACCCCCAGGCACCAGGCCCTTTTCACRACCTAACGGCCAAGGTCTGACATTCACTTTACTGTAGTTAAGGAAGGCACGTAACGCTGTACTTGATACCCACTTCAAATAAAGATTATTATTATAAAAATAGGCACCACGTGACTATTTACTGGTGATCACGTGACTACTGTTACCTTTTCCTGCCGTACTACTCGAATTTGGTTTTTGGGGTGGCGTTGTCCAGGTGATCCTGAATCCTTTCTTTGAAACCAGGGCATCAGTAACAAAGCCAACCTTGACTATCTTATGAGGCACGCGGATGGTACTGGGTTTGGTCGAGCCACAGTATTTATCTTTAGAATAAAAACAAGACAGGATGTGATAAATACGGTCAACGCATGTTGTTAACAAACCAATTGAGCCAACCACAACGCGAGATCACCGTGGTCATACACAGCAGTTTTCGTATGACTGTATGACTGTGAAAAGCTAACGGCACGAACACGGTCGTGAAACGGCAAGGGATACTCCAGTCCAATCACATTGCACGAAAATTTACTCGCTATCCAATCAAATGCCCGAAACACGGAATGAAGACGTCGCAGACACGGTCACGCCAATGTCACGCATAGCCAGACCAATCACATTGCGCGAGAAAAAAAAAGTCAGCCAATCAAAATTTTAGAAAACATCACGGTCACAGTAAGGCACGATTACGGTACCGACTTTTTCACAGTCATACGAAAACTACTCAAGTGTTTGGACAGCGTTACGGTCACGGTCAAGGCCCAGCATCAGGCAGTCCGCACAAGGAACATGATTCTACAGACATTCAAAAACCGTTCCTGACAACACTATTGTTTATACGCCTTACCAATAACACGCATGTTGTCAATGGTATTTCCCGCTGACACCTCCAAGAAGTCATTAGCACAACTGGCGCTTTCTTCAAGATTGAAATCCTCAAACTGCAACAATTGGCTGCCACTTGAACTACTGATTTCTTTGAGCCAGCTACATTCGATGCCATTTGGGTACTCAGAAGGGTAGGACGGGGAAGAAATGGTTGAATTGTCGCCTTTGATGGTTACGTTCTTGCAGTCTAGAGTATCCAAAGAAAAACCACAAATAGTGTTTTAAATATCACGATGGACTTCCTGTGGGGTAAAATTCCGGAAAAGACTGGGAACAGGTCCAATGAATTTTCAACTATGATAAAAAAAGTCATTTTCACAACATGAATAAAACACTGCAAAATACRCTCGTACTCTCACTAAGTCAGGTACTCACTTTCTCTGGAAGGACAAACTTGTTCTGTCAGCGATTGAGCCGCCGCTACTAATGCATCAGCGGTTCTTCCCATGAATGTAATCATCTCTGGCTTAACTCGATCCATGTTGTCACATTGYTGATGGTAACAAGTCTTCATGTAACCACGAAAGTCTGCCGTGTCTGTCAGGAATACCGCTGGCCAAGAGTTATTGCTGTCCCAGAATCTTGCGTGGTCGCTCCGAAGAAAGTCCGATAGTGCTCTTCGTTGCGTAGGATCTACGTCCTTTGGTCTTCCACTAAACGGCAATGGAATCGGCAAGGCTTTGAAAGCTCCTAAGACAGATATCCATGGTCAACTTAGTTCGATTGGGGAATAGATCACTCATAGCTTAGATAATCAGAACGCTCTGACTACCTTATTATAATAATCCATGACAAAACCGGGTGTGGTTAAGGCCCCGTCCACAAGTATCCGGAAATTTTTGTATCCG